GCTTCACACCACTTAGCAGGATTGCTGCTGAGTAAAGATCACCCCAGAAAGCACCTTTCAAGATTCCTCCACACAATACARCTATAGACTCTGCTATTTCTTGTTTCCATAGATGAAATGGCAARCCTATTACACGCACCACCACACCATCTTCGACAAAAAAATCCTTGGAGTTGGGTGTTGGATTCCATTTAAAGACTGTGAATGATCCGAAATCAGCTTGAACATTGATAGTTGATATTTCCAAATCATTCTCTATTGGATCTAGGATGGCTTTACAGCTATCAAAGGGGGTTACTATGAAGACACTCTTCAGCTTCAACCTGGTTGCCAGTAAATCAGCTACCCTCCTCCAATCATTAACCTTTTCCTTGGCTTGTATCACAAACTTACTATCCCACTCTTCTCTCTCTAGACCTCCCACCATTCTGCATTGGCCTTTTGTTTTTGCCATGACCACTGGCCCTTGTTCTACCCTGCTGTTGCTGAGATATGCCTTCTCCTCCCTTATGGAGGCTTTTTTATCATTTGCTACTCTTTGAGCTAAAAACTCTTTGAACAACCAGTCAACTTCCCCCCAACCTTGGTTCTGTTTTCCTGTTGGTAGACACACCAGTTGCCTTCGTCCCTTACCAAAAAACTCAGCCAAAGCTATGAAGAAACCTTTTCTATTCCTCTTACATTCAACAGCATATCTTCTCCCTTCTAATGTACTAAAATCCTACCAGTTTATCTGCTTACCTTTTGAACAAGCTCCAGCTATGAACTCTCTTAGCCACTCGATCACTTCTAATCCTTCCAGCAATATTGTACCCTTTTTCGCTTCCCTTACCTTCAGGCTTACCTTCCCCTTGATTCTCATCTCTTCGAACATGAGATTTTTTGCTTCTATCTTCAAGGATCTCCTCCACTGACCTGCCTGCACGAACTCCATTTCCCGGATGATGATGATACTCCTCTTTACTTAAAAAATAATCCTTCGGCCATTACACAATGATGGTCCCAAGCTATCTGGGATCTTGAGAGGGGTGGACTGGATACTGACCTAACCTTTTGGCATTTTTTGCACAAAGTGGCCATTGTCAAACAAACCCACATTCTCAGGTTTACCAGTCTCAGAATTACTAATGAACTAAGAAATGTCTCCTTCATTATTTTAAAGAGGTGATTGGTTAAAAAATGTTATATGATTGCAAAGAGGATACCCAAATCAACCTAAGTTCACAACCAATATAAGAAAATACAAACACATTTCCTATAACAAATGGGTGGTCCCAAAGCATTCAGAATCACTATAAACAATAAAGAGTCCCAACAAGCTTCCCCAACTTTATTGCACCCAAGCAATTTCTTTCTAAACATTATTGTACAAACAGAAAACAAGAGGGATGGAAATCTGTTATCCTTTCTCAAAAAAGAAAAGATGAAATTATTATTAAGTACCATATAACCTACAATAGAAAAGAATTGCTTTTAGATATTTTATCTTTCAAGATAGCCAATTAATGATGCAAATTATATAATTCCCTTTATCCATTACATTTAGATATAATTCCACAAATTACAAAATCGACCAGAGGCTATATTGTTCAGAATGAAAAACAATGCAGAAAAATACTTTAAATCCTCTTCAAAGGAGTACAATTTGACCTACCTAAGAGGTCCACATGACCTAAGGCCCTTCCCCCACATTACAAAGTATAATGCTGTTATGCCACCATTGATTATAGAAGGCACCACCTGAAACACAATTGTTCATAAGGAATATTTAAATGCAACTTATAGTACATCCATATCAAATGATACAAAATCAACAATAAAGTTACTTTCTGCTCTTGTTTGCATTTAGGTGCTTGAGCAATAAACCTTGAGGTGAGGAATAGACAAAGTGCCCCAAGCCACAAATAGGAATCATGCAATGCTGGCAAGCATAAATGCATAATAAGAAGTGAATTAGATGTGGGTGAACCAGTGAGGTAAAGCGTTTTTCAAGTGTCAAGCCTCATATCAGAAGTATGAGCCCCATAAAGATATCACATGTTTTTCTTAAAATGTGGAAATGTGGAACAAAATGTTGTAGCTTGAGCCTAATTAGCCAATAAAACACACAAAAAATCCTACTGAAAAAGCTTGGATAAGCAACTGGTATAGTCTGCGTGGATATTCATTTATCAGAAAATGAGTTCAGAATTTTAAAAGATTGCTTTTGTATAACAAGAAATAAGAAAGAAGAGACAACCTGTGTATTGGCCAGAGGCCTTCCCTTCCAAGGCCTTTGCAATGCTAAAAAGAGAATGGAAGACGGAACCAGACAACTGAAGATAAAAGCCACAACCGAAGCTCCATTCTCTGATAAATAGTGGTACATGGAGTAGACTGACCATATTCTCATTAAGTTTCCAATAATGTGGATTATCTGCAATGGAGTATGCCTGCAGGGAGAAAACACAGGAATTAGCTATTTGCCCATTTGTCTTACAGATAAATCAAAGTAAAACGGACCAAAAAAACATAAAGCTTAAAGCATTTATCACTAGCATATGTGTTCATCTGCAATACTAAAGCTCAGAATATAAGAAGTCATAGAAGAATGAGTTACAAACGGTCCTGCTAAATTCTTACATTGGCAGAAACCATCTTTCTATGCTAAAGAGTAGGGGTGGCAGTGGCACAGATCAGTTTCAGCATTTCTTCAGCTTAAATTGAATCCAACCCAAGTTTTTGCTAATTACTACAGACCAGGCCACAAAATCATCGTGGCCATATATGAACTGAAATAGATAAATTGATAAACAAGAAGGTTTTAAATTTTAATGGATTAACCAAGACCCAATTGAAACAAGCAAACCTAAAAGTGAAGTGAGTAAAGAATCAAGTTGTTTGCGTGGAATACCATGTAGAACTGACTCACTCCTACCCCAATTAAAATAGATAAGTTCTCAACGTCAGCAAAAGAAAAACAGTTCACTTAAATTCACAGATGCACCGTTTGAAAACACCTTAATGTGGTTTTACTAAGTTCCTATAACATTTGACGGAATGACCTTATTATCTGAAATAGGGTCTTCACATAAATATTAATAAAAATTAAAATGAGCTTATTTTAGGATTTCAAGGAATCAACTCATTTCTACCTGTAATTAACGTTTGAATGATTATGCTTATAGGGAGAGAGACAAAATAACCTCCTTCCATGTGACCACGAAAGTCCCCTAAGAAACGTTAAACTCAGAAGCTTTGTCCTTGCACTTGCGCTATTGATATGATTTGTAAGAACTCTATTTCTATTGCCATCAGGTTATCTCAACTAGCAATTTACATGCTACAATTCGATAAAACTTAAAACAATGAATGCATTGCAGCACGACGCAAAGAGGAAAGGCAATTCAATGTGTTAGAGAAATGAAGGAACAAATCAGACTGTGACATAATTATTACAAAGGCAGAATTCTTATGAATTAGGGTTTTCTCCGTATGCATATAATAGAGAATCAGAAACACGCGGGAACTGATTAATTATACCTGAACGAAGCAGAATGAGAAGTTCCTCGGTCTTCAGAGATCGGCCTTGGAGACATCATCTTTATGACTTCTTGGATCTTTCTCCGGTATCAATCTCTGGATTTTTGGACCCGTTTAAAGTTCCAAATGACTAAAAAGTCTAAAACTACGATAGTTTCATCTTACTAGATTTCGGAACATTCAGATTCCTTAGTTCTGTCATTCGCCTTCCTGTGTATTCCCAAATGCAATAGAAGATCGAAGTCCCGGGGTAAGTGAAGAAACTCAAATTTGGAGGGTGTAAGGTGTTGGCGTGGGTATAGTATAGTTGCCACTTTTGGCCGTTGCGGTTTTTTAACTAGCCACATAATCGTGTTCATGGTATTGCGTTTCTTAATTCTGATTGCAGTAAAATCAGCAACGCAACATCATAAAATTGCCAAAAGAAAAAAAAAAAAAAAAGGAAAAAAAAAAACTCTTGGGCACTATTCTTGGACTAAACTTTAGGTTTTATTAGTTCAAACGAATTAAGAGTCTGTTTGGTTTTCAGGAATAGGGGTCTGGAATCGGAATCGGAATGGGCTATTCCAATTCCAATTGTTTGGTTGGGCGGAATCGGAATCCCATTCCCATTCTTGCTGGAAGGGCATTCCTCCATTCGAGGGAATGGTCATTGAGCCATTCCCTGCCCCTCCCTTGGGAATGAAATCTCATTCCTATTAATTTTAATTCTCATTCCCATTCCTATCTGGACCAAACAGACTATGGGAATGGACCATTCCGATTCCGATTCTAGAGGATTTCGATTCCAATTTCGATTCCGACTATAAACCAAACGGACCCTAAGATTATTAAGGACCTGTATGCTTTGAGGGATCCTGAATTGGAATTAGAATGGGTCATTTCAATTTTAACTGTTTGGTTGGATGGAATCGGAATTCCATATCCATTCTTGGTAGATTGGCCATTCCCTCCCCTTCTATTGGAAATGAAATTCCATTCTAGCTAATTTTAATTCCCATTCCAATTCCTGTCTGAACCACCAAACTATTAGAATAAATCAATCCGATTCGATTCCAATTCCAACAATAAACCAAACAGACCCTAAAAATCACCATAGAGGATCTATGGAAAGCATTAGACTGGCATTTTCAATCTCAAGTCTCACTTCATCAGATCTACTATCCACGGCTTTGCGCCTCAACACATCCTATTAGGCTATGTTTGGTTTGAACAAAAATGTAGGAAAAAGAAGGGAAATCTAGGGAAACATATACAAAGCTTGTAAAAGTTTCCCTACATTTCCCTTCCTTTCCCTACTTTTTCCTTCAGACTAAACACAGCCTTAAGTATCAACCTATGGATGAAAAATTACAATCCAACAGCCTAAGGAAAATACCATCATGATCCAATGGTCCGAACCATAAAGGTGGGCGTGGGTCGTAAGGGACTGTAGTTAGCCGTTAGGATTGCTTGGGCTTGTGTTTTTGGTCTTTGGGCTGATTTTGGGCCTGGAACCTAGTGTTTTAACTTTTTATTTTCACTGTGTCTAGTTGAATTTGGGCCCAGACTTCTGTTAACCCAAACCTAGAACCACAACAAAGGTCTAGACTGGGCTGGGCCCAGAACCACAAAAAAGGTTACACCCAATTTTTGTGTATAACCCATCCTTTGTTGTGGGTTGGCCTGGGCTTGGATTAACTGAGATCTGGGCCCAAGACAAAGGGAAAACAAGATTTCAAGCCCAAGATGAGCCCAAAGCCCAAAATTACAGCCCAAGTCGCAACCCTTATTGAGAAACAACCCACCTTGGGTCAAGGTTCAATGGATGGGTTAATAGAAATCTAGGCATTGCGCATATCCATACTTTAAACATTGATTCAAACCACAAAGGTAGCTCATCTTTAAAGGCTTAAGTTTGGGAAATGTACAAAAATACATGTATAGTGCAAATACTGAGACTCAGTTTGAAAGGAGTACAAATACAAAATATGTACAGTGCAAATACATACAAAATAATACAAAGGCTGCGTTTGGAAAATATGCAAATATGTAGAATGTAAAATGGTTCATATAAATTGTAAATTTGGGTTAGTTTTGTACTGACAAATTTATCTTCTTACCAATCAGACTTTTAGCTGTAATGGATGCAAACATGAATTCCAATAAAGCATGTGCTTTTTTTTTATCAAAAACCCACTCGAATGTAAATTTACTTCTTTTTTATTGATGTATTTTTACATCTTATTATCAATATAAATATGCATTGGCCTGTCATTTGTCAATGCATAAATGTAATGTTGCCAAACACAGGCAAAAGTGAACCAGAGTGTAAATTTATTCTGAACCGGAATTTACACTTCATTTGCATTGTTTCCAAACGCAGCCAAAACATAAGGTTTTGCACTCTACAAATTTGCATTTGTACTCCTTTCAAACTGAGCCTGAAATACAAGGTTTTGCACAGTACATATTTGTATTTACAATCTTTCCAAACTAATCCTAAGGTTGTATTTGTGTTTGATAAAAGTGCAAATACAAATATGTACAGTACAACGCTTTGTATGCTGTATTTCTAAACCTATATTTGCATTGTACATATTTATATTTACATTCTTTCCAAACTAAGTCTAAGAGACTGTCTTTAGCCCTTAGGGTTGCGCAACTTGGGCATGTACTTTTGGGCTTTAAAGCACATTTTGGACCTGGAACCTTGTGTTTTAATTTTCCCTGTCTGGTTGGACTTGGACCCAGATCTATGTTAACCCAAGCCCTCCCAACCTAAGATTTATAAATCCAACAAAGGGTGGATTGGTCCTGGATTGTTGTGGGTATAAATTTAGGATTGGGCTAGGCCCAGTGCATCTGCGCACCCAAGTTACAACCCTAGCTATTAGGTCCAGGAGTCACTTTCAAAAATTCCACCTTTAAAGAAGAGGAACAGAATGAACACTAGACAAAGGCATGTAAAACAAGCTGCAGAATCAATCAAGAGTAGAGCTTGGATTTGCTACCCACAAGAGCTCTACCCACATGACATCACATCCCCACATAGGGAACATCTCCTATGCTTGTATGCAATTATGCACGGGGAATTGTTCCCAATTTGCGGTTGTAATGTTTTTGTCGATAGTTGTGGGTAGAATTCTTATGGGCAGGAGATCCGGAGTCTCAAGAATAAACACATTAATATTCTATACACATGAGGCCCATACCTTGTGTACAAAACACGGGCATATTCACCCTTGATTGGTAGATCCATAGCCTGTTGTTTGTTTGTAGTTCATCTGGACTCGCTTCATCAGTAGATGGTGGGACATGGATACCAAAGAGATACCAAATAATTCTAGAATAAGGGTCCTCCAGCATTTTCCTAGGACATAAAGTAAATTTCCCACACTTAAATTTGGAGAATTTGTGAATCAGTGATCCAACCGTATAAACTTTTGCAATTGCAGATCAACTATTCAACTTGGATGGGACCAATTAAATGCTTTCTCTTTCAGTACTTCTAGTGTCATTTTGAGAAAATGGGAAATACAGGAAATTGGGTAACTTTTTCAGAGACCCATTAACTTAAAAAAATGGGAAAAGATAAAACAGTATTTTTCCCCATTTTGTGAATGAAAATGAAATTAGTGTTCGAAACAATTCATTGAATTTGGGGACCAACTTGAAGCATTTAGGTTGCGAATGTAGTTCTGTTCAAATCATCTTCACAAGGCGTCTTATTGCATATAAATTATCACATACCAATCCCCACCACCACTTCCATACTACCAGGGAAAGAGCAGTCTTCATTGTAGATTGATTGAACAGAAATCCCTTCTGGATTTGTCCATACTCGCCACCACTGTGTTACTTTTCAACAAGGACATGTACCATAGATTTAGTTGGCATATAGTTTCAATTATTGGATATGAATATACCGTACATATGTACTTGTTCCAAGTAGGGTTCAGTCCATGGAACACTTGTGAGATGGACAACCAAACCATAGCCCATAAAACCATAAATGGATTTCACAATAATTCACAAGATTATCTGGTCGGTTTGGAATCATTGAAATCTACTAAATTATTATCTTTATTTATTTGTTTTAAGTTTCCTGGGCCCTGTTGATTCATGAACATGGCTCTTGGGTATGAATCTTTCGGTGCAGAAACTAGACTAAAAATTTAAGTTC